AATCAACCGGTCAAAAGTACCGATGCGATGAAAGTCTCCAGAGGAACATATGGTGTGTAATCATAGATCTGGTACACCAAAACCGAATGATTTCGTCCGACCGAAAAGGGCATGCATGTTTGTGACGACATTGATGTAATCGTACCGTTTGATGTAACACAACGATGTTTACAAGTGGGTAAATTATGACCCAAGGAACCGGCAAAGCGTGAACTGTGTCGCGCAACAAGAGTTCCTTACTATCTTGCGGAATTTAACATTTGAAACACAACCATTTAAGGTTGAGCTAAGCCCGAAATTCCGTAATTTGGCGACTTTCCGTAACTTTTATAGAACCGCTTTAATTAATTTATTGGAAATTAATAAATTGTTGATGTGCTGGCATTAATAATGCATGGTTCTTTGAAAATTTCAACTCATTTTTAACCATAGTGGCCTATCTTACTTAGGCCAGTATGGCACCTAAAATTCAGATCACAGACTACAAACCGTAACAGTAATTATGCTGCCATCTAGTGAATATTCGTTGTATCACTTTTAGACCACTCTGGTTCTATCTAAACGACCAATTTGAACTGGAAAAAATCATAAACTCAATATTGAAAAAAATGAGTTAGGCCACTATAGTTCTCATGGCCTCATATGTGAACTTATTCATTGAGAACATGCAAAACCAAGAGTTAATTCCATCTTCACATTAAATACTGACTCCTAAGAAGTCTGATGTATTTTTAAAGATCTGTGCGCATTTAATTACAATTGTACCTGATGATAAGCAAAAGCAAAGGTATGGTGCAGGCGAGGAGCTCAAGCAATACCTATATACTCTTGCTATGAAGATACCTATGTGAGACGTATTGGGGAACAATTACTTTGTAAAACAAACGAGGGTTTACATGTCTTTAACTTTGTAATAGGTAATAAAGAATCTAGTAACAATTTATTTTAAAAAATCCATATTATCCATCATTTAAAAAAAGATGTTGATAATTATCAAAATACAATTTTGATCAATTGAAGTCTGAACTATTGTGAAATATCGGAATATGATCGCAGGTAGAGCTACCATTCAAAATTGTTATTTGATCTATTGTAGGACACAAATCCAATGCGTAGGCACGGAGATCAGGTACCCGCATACTATAGCTGGAGATATGAATGGAACAAAGGATTGTAGCACGGCAACTCTCCGCCACATCTACATCAAATTCAGTGTTGCCAGGACCGATTTTTAAAAATCGGGTGGCGTTATAGAAAAAAACAGTAGATGTATGGAAAGAGTTCCAAGAAAAACAGTATTGGTAAATCAAATCAAAATAAAGACCACTAACGAATGTGTTTCTTGTAGACAATAACATTTATTTTATAATAATTAAGGTTACCTACATTATTAATGGAGGAAAATACTACTCAACATGCAATATTAAAACAGAAAATCGTATTCTAAGAAAAACAGGAGATTCGTGTAGAAAAACAGTAGAACTGGAGAAATTTCAGAAAAACAGGAGATCTCCTGTAAAATCTGGAGACCTGGCAACACTGAATTCCAATTCAACAGGGTTTCGAGAGTTTTTGGCGGGATTTCATCGAGTGCGGTTGGCGTGTTATTTTAATTATTCTTAAATTCGTTCATAGTGGATTATGGTGAAATAAAATTGGTGTGGTTTTTTGTAACAACCGTCTGCGTAACTGAAGAATTAGTGGAATAGTTAAAATATACGCTATTCCGGTCAATTGGACGTGAGAATTTTATTGTAGTGTTGACTACCTCACAGAAGCTTATCGAAAAGGCCAACTCGATACATTTCGTGCCAAACACTCCAAGAAACATTAGAATGCATCACACCGACATTCTAATGTAAAAACAAAAAGAAGATTAATTTAATTAAAGACTAGGCTGTATGGGCATTGTTCCCTTTGCCTTCCCTAAAACGGGAGAACTTTAAGAATCAACAGGGTTTCGGCGGGCGAAGCGTGGTTGTTCACCCCGTGCCGGCTGCCGGCGCGTCCCGTTAGAAGGCGCGCGCGCATACCTCGCGATGCACAAAATGAGCCCATTCTGTTTGCCAGCCACACAGAGCCCTTGTTGGGCCCGAACCGAACTCCAGCCCAACGTACGGACAGTGAAAGGATGTTTGTCCGAGCTACAATGTACTCACCCGAGCTTTGCATCGTACCGTACCGCCGGGCGCCGCCGTCATCAAACGTGTTACAGATTAAGTTGCTCCGCAAAGGATAATATGAACTTCTAAACATCTCTTTTATTCGCTTGAAGAAGAATGTTATTGATACTATTATTTACGCCAGGGGGTATCGTTTTATTACGAATAGTCTTAAAGGTATTAACAAAATTACCTATCAAGCTTTTTATAAGCAGAACATATTTTTTAATTTTTTTCGTTAAAATATGTGTTGTTTATATTATTATTAACCAGGAGGAATGGGTGGGTACGTAAATATTGTAATGTAGAGTCAAGAAAAAGTATTTTTATTCTAAAAATATAAAATTCCATAATTTGATTTTATAATTAATATTTCTTAGGATTAGCATCAATATATTGGATGTAGTACATTTTAATTTGAAATAAATATGATCAAAAAGGTACCTGCTCCGATCAATATTCAAATGCCATCAGTCTTTTTGCAAATTATTTCATCTCAACGTACATAAAATACTGGCGGAGCGTGAGTCTGGTCTCGGTCTATTAGGGTTCCGTACAATTTATTAAGGCAACATTGCTTATTACCATATTATCCTGTTATTGGAGCTACCTTCTATCAAATAATTATGAAATAGTTCGTTTCCGAGCCACATCTATCGTAACAAACCAAGAAAAATTAAAAATCATTTGTTTCTTAGGTTTTCACGCACATCACTCATTAAATAAAACAAATTTCAACGGTACAGATGATTTATTTATTTATGACGTTTTGCATTCTTTTCAGTATGCGTCATCAGAATTATGATTAATTCATAAATAAACAAATCCGTGCATCTATACCGTTGATACTTGTTTTATTTAAAAATCATTGTTCGTTTTCGTCACAAACTTACAAAGTACATTATGAATCGGCGCACGGTTCCCAACTTAGGGGTTTTGCCCCCAGATTTAGGGGCTAGAAGGGTGAAAACGGACTTTTTTAGGGGCTGGAATTTTTTGGGGTTTCCTTTAGGGGCTTTTAACAAAACTTGCAAAAATATAGAAAAACAAAGCATTGTGTTTTCTTTCAGTTTTGTGCGTAGAATGGAACGTACCACGATATGAAACAACTGAACTGACTGTGTGGCAGGTTGTTTCCTAAGGCTGTATGGACTTAAGTTCTTTGCCTTCCGCCAATCAAAACAGCTAATTAAGATTTAACAGCCCGTCAGCTCATTTTCAATTGATTTTCCATTCGGAAAATGTAATTAATTATTCAATAAATTAATTTACTGTAACTAAATATGTAACGTTTTAATTTATGAGCAACGAAAGAATTTAGGTAATAAGATAATTCTACATATAAATTTCTATATTTAGGGGACTTTAGAGGAATTTAAAAAATACTTAGGGTAAAATTTTGGTAAAGGTTGGTAACACTGAATCGGCGTCCTCAGTATGTATTTAATTATAGCATATAAATCGTTTCGCAACTAGCTTCGATTTTGAGATAGACCCCGTAACCGAAACGGTCTAAAAATGACAACTTGGACGACCAGCTCCGCTCATTTGTTGTTGTTTAAAAATAAATAAATATTTAAATATATATATATATATATATATATATATATACTGCTCAACGAGTTCTAGGCAATAAATAATAAGCAAAAAACAACACCTTTTCATATGTGGGTTTCATAGTGTGGACCTCTCATGAAAAAGAATTTAATTGAACTTTTTACTAAATATTCGCTTTTGGCTTATATTCTGCATATAATTATAAAATTTCAGTTCTGTAACTCATTATCGCGAAAGAGTGACAGCAACAAGGGGAGCCGTTTTTACCTTTTGGGCAAGAAACCCTAAAAAAATGACTTTGCATGGCCTTTAGCAATGACAATTACTAATAAATTTAATTGAATTGAACCATTTTAAACAGTTCAGAGACTTTAACTAAAATACTAAATAGTATGTACAACTTTAATATTAAATTAATATGTAGAGTCGGAAATTCAAGTCAAGTATACAGACTTAGCAGTAACTCTAAATCAAAATTTTACTTAAAACGTATTTGAGATTTAATTTGATGATATTTTATAAAAAAAAATTTATGTCAAGTCGCTTTTTATTCCAGTAATAAAAGTTTACACATCATTATTTTTCACTTTTCAAGTGATTAAAATACTTGAACATCGTTTGATCTTTTTATCTTTTAACTTAATGTGTATCTTTTAACAATGTGTACTATTTAACTTAAGTTCAACTTCTGGAGTACTCATCGGATATTAACCAAAGTTATATGAGACGATCTCGAGAAAAAATTATAAGTACAAAAAAGAATAATCGAAATTGGGCCAAAACCTTGACTAATGCGCAAATTAAAATATCCTGAATTTTTGAGAAAGTCGTCCTATTAGCTGTCTGTAGAAAGTATTAGATCATCGCTGAACATCATTTTCATTCACTTGAAAAAATATTCAGAGTATTAAAAATGGAACGGTTATCATATGTGACTTACGAAACTTTATTGTCCTTACGTGGGAACACGCTATCAATTACACCTAAACTTTGTTTGCAGAGCAAACGCGAAGACGTCAACAGTTAGATACAGCACCATTACTTACCTAAATTAACGAGATTGTAAAAGAAAATTCATACAAAAAAAATATATATACTTCCCCAAAAACAAAGAACGCGTAATCCCGGACGCGTACACTCGGACGGATAAATCCGCGGGTGTTTCCGATAGCGCGAACTAATGTTGCCAATTTTAAGTTTTAAAAACTAATCTAACTCAAGAAGGAGGCAGAAAAAGTTGCGACAGAGCAGGGGCACGGGGCGGCAATCGGCACTCATTACCCGTGAGGAGTCGTGGAGTCGGCGGTCGAAGTCGCGAAACTTACGGGCGGAGAACTGCGGCCGGGACGTGCGGCCGGGCGCACGGGCGCTAAGCGACTGACTGGCTGAGCCTGAGCCTGCTCTAGCCGACCACCGGACGACGAAGACTAGCCCGCGGCGGGAACGGCTGCATCCTCCGCAGCCATCGCCATCGAGACCGTCCTCCGACAAAGCCTCCTCGCTCCCAAAACAACAACGCATCGACTAACAAACACCCGAGAAACCATTTTTCAATACTACCTATCTCGAGAGGCGATACGGAGGAATTCCGTCACAACACGTACCAGATTTCCTAACAAAGTAGTGAAGTATTTTACAGGACACCCTTTACACACTCTAGTGGTCCACATTGAAGTTTCAAACGACATATGAGCGGATTACCGGCTCGGCTACCCGGCGCTGTCCCGTCTTTGTAGCTGCGAAAGGTGTAAAGACATCCAGCTGCGATATTAGGGTGCATTAAAACCGCTGTTTCATTGAAGCTTCCGTTTATCTTTTAAATATTAAAATATATTTTAAGGTTATCATATTTTTTAAAGTATTTCTTCAGTTATCATACTATAATGAAAGTTTGTATAATTTGTTTGGTACGTACCTTGTTGATTGCCTAGATTGAGACAAAGAATACTTTTTAACTCGAAAAATGTTTAGACTCTTGTGGGATTCTAAAAAATCCAAAGTTAACGGGGACGAAGTGCGGTCCGAAGCTAAATTTTCTATAAATTGAGAAGTTTTTCAATACTTGTAACCGAAAACTTAGAGGCTTACAAATTAGAGGGAAAAATACCTCGAGGTAAAATAGCATAAAAAGGTCGTATAAAAATTGATAATTGCAGCACTTAAGAATGCGGGCACCTCTGTGTGGTTGTACACATTGCACCAGTTAAACAGATTAGCGATCTTAAAGGTTGGCGCTTACTACGGCGGGCCGCACCGGGCCGCACCGGGCCGCACCGGGCCGCATCGCAACACACTGGCGCATGGCGGATCGCTTCATCATCAGCCTATTAATGTCCTCACTGCTGGGACACAGGCCTTCCCTATGGATGGTATAGGGAGATTAGGCCATGACCCACCACGCGGGCCCAGTGCAGATTGGCGGGTGCTAACGACTGCAAACGCAGCCGGGACCAACGGCTTAACGTGCCTTCCGAAGCACGGAGCAACTCGAGATAGAAGACTTTTTGGTCACCCATCCAATGACCGACCACTGCGAAAGTTGCTTAAGTTCAACGATCGCACCTGAACGCGCTAACGACCTGCGCCATCGAGCTCCTCGGATCGGCGGATCGCTTGCAGGCGTATTTTTGCGGCAATGTGATGCACGCGTTGCGACGAGGCCCGCCTCAGTGTGCGTTGGAAGGCTCAGTAACCACAAAATATGTAGAGAGTTACAGAAATGTATGTACTTCACTTTTCATATTTCGCTTGGGACGCTCGTGCGTGGACGACGTTGTGTGCATTGCTCAAGCACACTTTGAATGTAGATTGACTTCTGGTCTTCACTGTGTCAGAACAATCCATCGCTTGCACTGCAAATGGGCTAGCTGATTCAATTATTGCGTTGCGGCGCGACTCCTACATGCTTTGGTGCAATTTTTCAGGGCGGTGCGCTGCGGCCCGTCGCTTATGTAGTGAGCGCTAGCCCTTAGAGTGCAGGCCACAGTTAGAGGCGTGAAGAAGGCTCCATTAGGCGCGCCAGTGACGCCCGAGCTGATTTTCTACGGATTCTTAACCGCATAATTATATTATTACTAAATTATATTATTAATATAGTTAGTTAGTTCTTCAGGGCGGTTTCCGCACTTAGTCCTAATTATTGGACCATTGTGCGTGTCTCAAAAACATTCCCGTTTACATATCGGTCCAGAAGAAAAGCAACCTTGGTAGACTGCTGCAAGCTTCGGGAAACGGTTCTGGTGACTGTGATATTATTAATATATATATATATATTAAGAGCGAAGATGTTCTTCATATAATAAGAGAAAGTTTTGCATGAAATTCAAAATATTCTAAGCTACTAAATAACGCGTGAGTTGCACTAACTTTAACTGTATTATTTAAAGTTTCGGTTTAGTAAAAATGGGTTGCATCATTTGAGGATAGTCAAAACGTGGTTATAATTTGACAGTGATACTTTAGTAGTTCTGTGGCACAACTCGCACTTAGTAAAAAAACTTTCAAACATTTAATATTATTTTCAATAGTTTGTATTTTGTAAAGCGGTCTACACTATTTTCGTTGACTTTGTTAATTGTCTTGAGAAGATACACGGAAAGCCACTTCTTTGTCACTGTATCTCCAACAGGTTTTGATAAGACATGATTAATTCAGTTCAGCGTAGATCGTTCGACTGTACAAAATGCAGTTTTATTTATTTAAAGCGCGTCAACTTGAGAGTAATAACTCAATCTATATAATTATATAAAACTCAAAGGTGACTGACTGACATAGTGATCTATCAACGCACAGCTCAAACCACTGGACGGATCGGGCTGAAATTTGGCAAGCAGGTAGATGTTATGACGTAGGCATCCGCTAAGAAAGGATTTTGATCAATTCTACCCTCAAGGGGATAAAATAGGGAATGAAAGTTTGTATGAAACTTTGTCAATTTTAAACCGATCGAGCTGAGACTTTGCATGCAGGTATAAGAAGAATCATAGATGAATGTCATTGTGTATAATACAAGCCTTGAGAACAAAAACTGTAGTCTGCACTTCAGCTCTACACCGAAGCGAAGCGAGGGCGGCCCGCTAGTATGTACATACAACAGCTGATATCGCAGCCCGCCCACAGTCTCCGAGCCGCATCACGTAGGAGGAGATCATATCAATCGAATCATTGTACGACAATCGTTTATGATGACCGATTGTTTTTGAACTTACGAGAACACTAAAAATATCATTTCCCGTTTGGGTACCTCCGTCTTACAAAAGACCGCAGTGAATATCACTTAAACGTTTGGCCAGTGTCGTGTGCTTTTGTTGGGTAACGTTCGAGGGCTCCACGCCGAAGAGAATTGGCCTCAGACCGACATTGTCACTTCAGTTGTCTTATCTAAACTTATAATAAATCTGTAGAGATGTCAATTCTGTACATGAAATATATTTTTAAAATAACTATCAGGGGGTGATTAGTGATCGATATTGATGCCAAAAATGCAGTCAGTAAAATTTTTGTCTGTCTGTCTGTGTGTATGTTCCTTATAGAAACAAAAACTACTCAACGGATTTTAACGAAACTTGGTACAATTATTCTTCATACTCCTGGGCAGGTTATAGTATACTTTTCATCACGCTACAATCAATAGCAGCAGAGTAGTGAAGGGAAATGTTGGGAAAACGGGAGAAGTTACTCCATTTTTTAAGCTTCCGTCGCGGGTGCAGCTTTAATGGTTAAAGTTACATAGAAATCATGTATGACAGAAATATTCTACATAAAATTGTCTAAAAAATATCCAGCAACAGCATATGTCTATCTTTTATGGTTGACTCACAATAACACGTGTAATTATATAAATTAAGTCATTGTTTATAGCACAAGCCTGAGAACAAAAACTATAGTTTACACTACAGCTCTACACCGAAACGAAGCGAGGGCGGGCCACTAGTAAGCAATATTCACGAACTTCGCTTCAACTTGTAAACAAAAAAAAATTGGTTACTGACCTTATTTAAAACATAAGTTGTTAACTACAAATTAAGACAAAATAAGCACGGTATGTCTGATTTATAATTCAAATGGACAGCTCTGTTTTTGTAGGAAAAGGAATAAAAAGTACAGCATAAAAGTAGATTTCATCGTCGCCTCTCGTTCGTTTGAAACATAGGCGTCTAAGTAACAAAATGTGTAGTCTATCTGAAGGAGGCACCTCGCGGATCACACTTAAGTAACATTAATCGGGTTTCCTCGAGTCTACGTCACAACCAGAACGGCTTAAGGGGAAACCTTCGCTTTGTGATCTCGAGCTTTAGAATAACAGTCTTACAACACCAACTCACACGCGGGGAATACTAAAAAAGGGTACTCTGAAATAATTGTCGGTATTATTTTTATTAAAAGGCGTAATTGTATAGCATTTAATAATCTCCGTTTTCCGTAAGCCGCTGCTGCCCTGAGAAACTTAAAGTTCGGCTGGTCTCCTAGCAACATTGTTGGGCCGATGCGTCCCGGCAAGGTCGCGATTCTTTTGACAAATTTCAGTGGCAAAGCAATTGACGTCACTATGATTACCGCGTTTTGTTCTCGATCAATTTCATGTGTTTTAACAGTGGAGTTTTTATAGATGACTAGCAAACCCGGCGAACTCCGTTTCGCCACCAGATGGCTTCGTTTTATGTAACATTTCGTTTGGTGATTAAAAGAAGTTTTTTTTTTAATTTTTCCTGAATTTTCTTTGCTATAAACCTCACGGAGCCCGAGACCTTTCCAACGAATGCAAAACCGTGGAAATCGGTACGTGCGTTCTGGAGTTATAGCGTCAGGAAGGAAAACCCGACTTATTTTTATATAGTAGATTGGAGTGATGGCGCGGCCGGCGCAGCTAACTCAATAGACTGCTCAGATGATTATGAGTGACACAATGTGGTTTAATTCACAATTGAAGTAGCCATTCACTATTATGCTGATGTTTGTACAGAATGAGCTCCAATGTCAGATTTGGATGTGATTTGATAAGCGCTCACGGACGAATAAATTAACATAATAAAAAATCTAATAACTCATAACATAATAAATGATAGTTGTACACTTAATATAGCAACTACCGAGTGAGTGTACGTTGTTGTAACAATCAATTACTGTTTGAGAGGGGTTCCTATATAATATATATATATATATATATATATATATATATATATATATATATATATATATATATATGTCTGTCTGTCACTCCACCTAGCCATTGCCAAAATCAATTTTAGGAAATACCATAAAAACTCTCTGCCCTAAGCTTGGCTTCCAAACTTTCATCCCTTGCTTTAACATCTATCTAAAAAAGTTCATGACTTCTACCACTACGCTTGCAGTATTTAACTTATTAAAGAGTACTAGCAAACCAGTGAACCAAATGTTCACCAAAACCTGATTTAAAAAAAATGTATTTAATAAATTGAGAACTTCGGAGATTTTATGTGGTTTCGTTTGAAATTCGTGATTTCTCGAAAACCGGAAGTTCTACGTTACTCAAATCCGGTTTGTAGTCTTATCAGACTATTCTTAACTTATAACTTAAACATTCTCTTTATCTATCTCTTACGGTTTGGCCGCTGAAACAGCACCACAGACAGACGGACGGACGGACTTGTCTAATAGATAAGAGATAATAAGTAAATGAAAATATGAAAAAAAAAATCTTTAATGCTTACATGTTAAATATAAACACGTTGTTAAGTATCCCCTTTTATATTTTACTTGCGTTAAGGGATACTGGCTCTTTCGTGAATTTTTACATTGAACTTTAACATGAGACAATTATTTCCGAAAGAAAAATAGAAAAGTTCCAACCGATCCAGGCATCAGACAGGACCCGAACCTGCGCGAAGGCGAAGCCCGCAAAACCCGTTAAAGGCGCAGGACCGACCAGAACTCCAGCACAATATACCTAGCAGTTTAATGCTAACAATAACAATTTAATAGAAACGAAAAATTGTTTAAAGGACTTAATGTCTACTGTTCTTTCTACTCCTTTTTGTGATTTCGAGATTTCTGGTCAGTCAATATTTTCTGGCCATCCATCCAAACATTGTATTTGGGACTTATTTTCGCGAATCTACCAAGTACGTGATTTATTCCATACCTTATTGATACCCACTCAAAATTATAAGACTCAGAAATCAGAAATCAATATATCTTTATTCAAATTGGATGTATAGTACAACACTTCTGAATCGTCCAAACATTTTTTTTCCCTACCACTCGTTATTGGACATATTTTTTAGCTGCGGAGAAAAACGAGCGAAAAAAACTCCACAACATTAAAAGCATAATGTAACAACATTTACAAATCATTATGTTGTTACAACGTCAATACAATCATGATTTATTTAATATAGAACACCTGTTGGAATGATTGGAACAGTTCAAACCACAGCATTTTTGTCTGTAATATAATCAGACACTTTGTAATAAGCTTTTTTAATAAGTGCTTTTTTTATACTATCTTTGAATTTATTTATGCTTAACTCTTGGATATTGCTTGGGACTTTATTGTATAAGCGAACACAAAGACCTTTAAATGAATTATTGATTTTGTGAAGCCTAGTAGCAGGTAAAGTTAGTTTATTTTTGTTTCTTGTATTAAGTGTGTGAACATCACTGTTTTTAAGAAACAAATTAATATTTTTTCTTACAAGTAATAAATTTTCGTAAATGTATTGTGATGCGACCGTCATTATACCAAATTCTTTAAACCTATCTCTTAAGGAATCCTTAACTTTAAGATTATAAATTGATCGAATAGCTCTCTTCTGCAGCTAAAAAATAGTTTGAATGTCGGCGGCGTTTCCCCACAATAAAATTCCGTACGACATTACACTATGGAAATAACTAAAGTACACTAATCTGGCCGTATCTACATCCGTTAACTGGCGTATCTTCATTACGGCATATGCTGCAGAGCTAAGTCTATTTGACAATTTATCAATATGTGGGCCCCATTGAAGCTTAGAATCTAAAGTAATCCCTAAGAATACTGTGGCCAATATTCCTATCCTTTACATTCACACTGGCTTTTACCTGTTTTACATTAGGTAATAATTATAATATATATACATTAGGTATAACTATTTTGATAGATATGTAGATTTCACGGCACGGTTCTTGCTACGTACGTACGTAGAGTGCATCATTTCGTGAAACCGTCTTTATTACGTACATGTAAAAGAGGTTAGTAATTAGTCCGGTCGCAAATAACTCTCCGGCATAGTTCCACAGAAGCAGTGTCGTTTAGTTTCGCGTTTCATGAACGACATTTTACGCAACCGATTTTCGGAATCACCCGGAAACTGCGGCGCGTAGCCGCAGGCGCAGTACATTGGCAGTGCCTCACTGCATAATGCTATGTCTCCGTGTCTTGTGTACTAAAGTGGCCGCAACTTGCGGGACGTAGATACATTGGCAAAGTCTCGACACCGCTTTACCGAAGAGCCGTTTGTTTACGGCCTGATTGTTCGTGTTATATACGTTTTCTGCGAACGGACATAATTTTCAGCCGCACCTCCGCCGGCGAGCGGCGCCGGTCGGCCTCCTCTAACTCTATATAAATCCTCTATTCAATTCGAAGATCTAACAACGATAAACGTTAAAACAGAAGGAAAACTTGCAGTGATTTCGCTAACCGAAGACACATTTTACTGCCATTCTGGACTGGGGGTTGAAGGAAACTATAGAATTACCTGGTAAGCTAGTAATCTATTAAAAGCCTGTCTATGGATAGATTTGCGAAAGGTCTTGTCAACTTAAGCCCAACCGATGCCAAACAGTGAGCTATTCAAAGTTGTGAGCGGTATAACAACGTGAACTCGTAACAACCAAAGATATTCCAAAATGAGTATTAATAAGTATTCATCAAAATCAGAGAGTGCGCTATGGATCTCGAAAGTTGAAAAAAATATCGATATATCGATAAATCGATCTTTTAAAAAATATAAATATCGGCTTCGATATATCGCGAAAAAAACATCGATATATCGGACCAATTTTCCCAAAAATATCGTACAGTAGCTCACGAAATATGACACGCGGAATAATAATGGAACGAAAATTATCTCCCTAAAAATAGACCCTATTTTCGAATGATGACATAGACAATACTAAATACAGCACAGATCATAGATATGTTGAATATCATTAATCTGAGATCCAGTTACGATTTTTCCAGATACGAATTTAGTTAGATAGTGATATGCCGCTAATAATTAAAAAATATCGTTTTTGATACGAATTTCGATATTGGTTATTTTGTATCGATGTATCGATACAAAATAACTAAAATATCGGCAAAAAATATCGATATATCGATACATCGATATATTTTCAACAAGCCTAGAGTGCGCTTTATTGAGTTCCATAAGTTAGGCTAGTTGCTAACCAGCCTCAGTGACGCATCGCTTAGATAAGACACACGGCACATTCCACAGGTGTGGGATAAGGTAAGCTCGCTCCCCGCACGGCTGAAGCTCAGCCACCGAGCTGTCGTCATCATTCCGAGATACGCGTGTTATTGTTCACAGTTACAACACAGACGTGTCTATTAATACTCGATGACAGAAATTATTTAATATGCTCATCCAAACATTTAGGTCTAACAGATCTATTTATCAAACTTGCTTACTAAGATGGTTTTAAAGAATTACTTTATAGGCATTAGGCACTCTTGTTGGAGTTATTACTTCGAAAGCACTTATTTCAAATTAATATTACTTATTTCAAATCTTATATTCAAGTAGTTATTGTGTTAAAATGCTTGTAATAAATAAGTAGAACAATATCAGGTTTACACTGGGACTACCACTTCAGCTATTTTCCAAGATTTCTCAGAATCTTTATTACTGTTTTTAATTTCTTACTCAGATCATTAACTTTTACTTGCTCTCTACTTTGCCTCATCCTCTAAAGTGAATCTCTAAGAAATTATGGAAAAGTATTTGTTGCATAAACGTTGGTAGATGACACAGTAACGAAAATCGATACTTTTGTTCACGTAACACAATTATTAGCTACATTCGGATTTTATATCGCGACAGGACTAGACCAGTCTATTGTCTGCAGCTTTAACAAAATCGAAGCCCCTCGGAGTAAACCTCTATTTTAGTGAGCAGGTACTATTAAGCTATGACATTCAAACATTCTGCGTAGTAAAACCTTAATGCGGAAACAAAGCTGCAGTGATATAGTATATCTCGCGTATACTAACGTAAGGGAGACATGATTGCGGGCGCATGACCCAACAAACATAGTTTAAACAAAAACTGAAATACTATGTCGGAACCATGTCATAAAATGTTGTAAATGAGGGCGGCGCACGCAACGCCGCCGCTGACGGCTCGAGCCGCGGGCCGCAAGCCGCGGGCTCGGGTCTCAAATGAAGACAATGCCATCTAAAAATACCAACTCGGCCAAAGTGAAACTTTTGTCAAACACCTTACGGAGGTTGTGTTTATTTTGACGTCATTTATTTATTGATTCGCGGCGACACACAGACACTGCCGCTGCTGACACTGGTGACACTGCGGTGGCAGCCTGAGCCGGAGCGGCGTTGTGTTCGCATCGCGATTACGCATCAAGACTGAATTCAGTCACTTTTAGTTAGAGCGGAAATCTCGTATGCGTATTTTTTTGACAAACGCTTTCTTGTAATTGATCAGGTTAAATTATGTATTAACAATGTTAAAATATGTTATTTAAATTGATGCTGTGAAGCATTGTTCTGTAACCCTTCTTTTGGCCGCA